TTGTTCTTTTGAGTTCCATGTCCTGCATTATCTCTAGGGGGTTCTCATTGTACTCCTCTAGAGGACTATTGGTATTTTGTGGGGATATGTTATTTTGGTTTTTCATGTTATTATTTTTCCGTCTGTGATTTTGACATGTTAATTTCTTTTGTAGTTTCTGATTCTTGTGTGAGACTCAGGCCTTCGAGGTTAGGTCTGCTTCTTTGTGTGAACTTTATGTGTCTTTGTGGCTTACTTTATGGGCATGAGAAGCTGGTTCATCCAAGCTTCTGGTTCTCGCTTTTGATTTTATATTGGAGTGGCCAGATTGCTTTGTCTTCAGGAGTTCCCACAGAGGCCCAAGTCAGATGAGGATCAGATGCTCTTAGGCTTTCTCCTAAGGTCTGGATCCCCCCAGGAAAGATTTTGGCCTCAGGAATTTGGGGGTTGGACTGGCCTGGGAGTGGGGCCCAGGAAAGATGCTGGTCTAGGGCAGCTGGTGGCTATCCCACCCAGAGATGCAAAGGAAGATGGGGTGGGAAGCCACCCCAATGGCTCCTGTGGACTGCTCTGAGGAGCTGGGTTTGTCTGGATGCAAAGGATCAGGAAGAGTAAAGGTCAGTCCTGGCTTCCAGGAAAGAGGCCGGCAGGTGATGCAGGCTCAGGGAAGTAGAGGGAGGTGAGGGCAGGGCAAGGCCCAAAGTGCTCCTGGGGACACAAGATGGAACTGAGCTTGTCTGGATACAAAAGATCAGGAAGCAGTGGTGGTTCCCCAGGTGCCTGGGGCGCCAAGATGAGGAATGGGCCAGGACCCAGGCTAGGAGGAGAGACCTGCGGGGGAGATGGGAGGGTGAATGAGGCTGGGGGGAGTCAAGGCACAGAGGGCCGGATAGACTTACCCCAAAGAGAGAGGCCTGCGGGTCGTGCCAATTGAGAGGTTTTTAACCGTAACAATACAAAAGACACAAAAGAAATGACTAACAATTTGTCTACTTCAAAATTTTGAAATTCTATACAGTAAAAAAGACCTGTAAAGTTATAAAAACCCAATTGAAGGCAGAATCAAGAAGCCACTGCTATTATTTGATTAATTTTTTGCATAAAGACAGTTTTATTCCTTAATTAGGAAATAAAAATAAGTACCATAATTTTAGACAAAAGATATCAAGCATAGGGAGAAATTATAAGACTTTACATTTTAAGTAATAGATTGTAAAATGATTAAACTTAATATTAAAGGCATTAAAACAGAATATTTAATAACACCAAGGTGATTTTATCATAGAACTTCTGAGAAAGATAGTTGAACAATAATGGAGACAGATTCAGCTTAATCTTTGAATATCTTATCTAGGCAGGAAAAGGATGAAAGAAACAAAATATCAATGAAGCTTATTTAAGTAAAATTATATACATATCTTCATTTTCAATTGTTCAAAATTTTTCTAGAATTAAAAAATCATCATACTCAATATGGGTTTTTTTAAAATAAAAAGATATCTCTATTTTTCCCTAAAGTAAATAATTTAGAATTAAACCTACTATGAAAAGATCAGAACCAAAGGCCTGACTAGTGCAGCTTACAATACACGATTTGTGACACCCCCCCCCGCCATTAAGAATCAATCTTTCCCCAGATGTAGTGATGTTACATTACACAGGCTAAATGTCAGTTGTTGATTTTTGTTGGTTTTCTCCCCTTCCTCTGTCTCTCTCTCTCTGACTTTCTCTCTTTCCATTCTAGAATATTGACTATCATTTCCTAAGGCCTAGCATCACAAGACAATTCTTTTAAAACTCAATACCAGGGGCTGGAGAGGTGGTTCAGTGATTAAGAGCACTGGCTGCTCTTGCAGAGGGCCCAAGTCTGAGTCCCAGTACCCACATGGGGGCTAACATAATTCCGTAAGTCCAGCTCCAGGGGAATCCAATGCTCTCTTCTGAGCTCTGCAGGCATTGCATGACCAAGTACACTTACATACAGGCAGGCAATATACTCATACACATAACATGAAAAATAATAAAATGTTTTTAAAAATTTCATTGCTATGCCTGTCTATTCTGAACTGCTGATGTCACAGAGCAAGAAACATGGGGTACGAAATTCAGATCGCTTGTCTTGCAAGCAGTTTATGTCTTATCTCACAAGATAACTATAACTAGAAACACAGGAAATACCCAATGAACTTCTGTACCTGTAGGTTTTCTTAATTTCTTCATTTGATGCTCCCTTATGCAGACCAAGAATTTCATATAGAGCTTCTCCACATGTTGACATAGTCCGCTGTCTTTGGTTAGGTATGTTACATGCCATATTCTCAAGCTGGAAAAAAAAAAAAACAAAGAGGGAAAAATAGCCATGAAGGTTATGTCACCCTCTGAAAGGGAAGAAAGTGCGTTTTTAGCATTTTGAAAGTGACAGTCTGAATTATCTTTGTATGCTCACTACAAAATTAGGAGAGAAAAGTGTTGAGAGGCAAAAGCAGTTCTAAGTGGGAATGTCAAGGGTTATGATAGGAATGGATAAATGGAACATGACTTTATTTACATGGCTAAATAAATACAAGCAAATGTGATCTAAATATGTAGCTATTTCAGAAGTGTTGAAAATCAGTCCTCATGGGTTAGGCAAATGTTTTGTTTTGTTTGGGTAAAATCTTTACAACTTCTTTTGTATGTATTTTCCAAATTTGGACAGCCATGGAGGAATCATCCATGTTGTTCCATCTCTGCTGGCCTGGCCATTGGTCAAGAGTTTAGAAGACAAAACAAAAAAACAATAACTTCCTTCTTTTCAGTATCAGGTCTCATCTGGGACCTAGATTAGAACTTCTCTATAGCTGTGGAGTCCTGGAGCGGTCTGCACCTCAGACAACTCCTTTCTCTGTAGTCTAACCAGAAAAGAACTATCTTGGGTCCCAAGGAACCGTTTGTGTGCTGCACTGAGACACTAGGGGGCTCAGTAAAGCAAGCACATGTGGTGGGCATTTCTGTAATCACCATTTAACCTCTCAGAACATCATGGTCTTTCTCTGTAATATAGGATAAGCCTACTCTATTAGTTACTTTTCTATTGCTTTGATAAAATACCATGACCAAAAGCAGCTTAGAGGAGAAAAGGATTTACTTTAGCATAGGGTTCCAGAGGGGATACAATTCATCACGGTTGGCTAGACATGGCAGTAGGAACAGGAGGCCCACCTGGAAACAGGAAACACAGAGACCTCACATTTCATCCACACACAGGAAGCAGAGAATAAGAACAGGAAGTGGGGCTAGCTGAGAAAACCTAAAGCCTGTCCCCAGTGAGGTGCTTCCTCCAGCCAGGCTCTACCTCCTAAAAGTTCCAGAACCTTCCTAGGCAGTATGACCAACTGGGGACCAGGTACTCAAATACATAAGCCTTTGGAAGATATTTCTCATTCAAATCACCACACATTCATGAAAATAGCTTAAGGATTTAGAAATTATACATATACTGTCTCTAGGACACACACACACACACACACACACACACACACATATATCAAAGGAAAAAAGGATATTGTTTTTATTAAAGGCAGCATAGTGTGCTATTCAGAGAGTGCATAGTAGTCACAACTGTAGACTTGAATATTGGCTTCCATGACCTTCATTACTGAAGACAAAAATGTGCCCTAAACTCATGAAAGTATTGTGAGCATTGAATATATTAATACCTACATACATATATACATACATATGTATGTCAGCAGTCATAACAATATTAAGCATAAAAGCAAAATGGTTCAAACACCCAAAGTGTCCATCAACAGAAGAATGGATAAATAAAATGTGATGTACTCACAGGATGGAATATCATGAGCCAAGAAAAGAAGCAAACCGCTGACATGCATTATAACAGAGATGATTATTGAAAATATTATGCTGAATAAAATAAACTAGTAACAAAAGGATAAATATTGTATGATTCATTAGTGCGATGTTTGTAACAAGCAATTTCACAGAGCTAAAAAGAATCCTAGAAGTTACCAGGGACTTAGAGGAATGGGAAATGGGAATTATTACTTATTACATAGTGTTTCTTATTATGATGACAAAATGTTTGGGAAATAAATGGTAATGATGGTTACTCAACACTGTGAATATACTTAATGCCACTGAATTGTGCACTTAAAAACCACTAAAAAGGCAAATTTTATCATGTATATTTTATCACAAAACAACAGAAACAAAAATGACCCTAACCGTAAGCCTTTCTGAATAAAGTTCCTTGAAACCACTGTCCCTTTTCTTGGCTTTAGGCCCTGTACCACAGCTGCTACAAGAGTGAAAAATGTGACATGGTAAAGCTCAACCTCACTGTTGTAGGAACTAAGAACTCAGAAGCTGCAAGGGACTACTTGACATCACAGCCACATCTCTCCAGCAGGATAATTAATGCTTGGCAGATTTTGAAAGTATAGAGACATATCTACCTATACGTGTTCTCTGTTTGTTTCCCCAGTACCAGGACACTTGGGAGACATTCTCTCTAGAACAATAGCTACCCAAGGTTGTACAAACTGAGGAGTTTTAGAAGGTAGGAGAGCTAGGCCACAGACTGCAAAACTAACTGTGGCCAGCAGAAGCTCTTGGTGTGCAAAGAAGGAAAGCTGTTAATGCGAAACCTTTTATTACATTTGTCTAATTTTTTTACATTTTTGGTTATTGTCTATATTAGTTACCTTTCTTAGTATGAAAAAATATTTAACAAAAGTAACTTAAGGAAAAAAGTTTATTTTGGTACATAGCTGGAAGGTACAGCCCATCATAGTAGAGAAATTGTGACAGCAAGCATATGAAGCAGCTAGTCATTTTCATCCACAGTCAGGGAGCAGAAAGCTATGATACCAGCTAGACTGGTGCTGTCATCATAATAAGCTATGACCCCGGGCCATAGATAGTGCTGCCCAGATTCAGGATGAGTCTTCCCATTTCAATTAATTCAATCTAGAGACTCCCTTATAGACACATCCAGGGACTTGTCTCCTAGGCGATTCTAGATCCTGTGAAGTTGGCAATCACTAATAGCCATCATGTGATGCAATCATTTTTCTTTCACTCCTTTTTCCTTCTTGCCCACCCTATTTTCTTTGTGTTCCACTCTTCTTTTTACTATACTTTAGTAGTCCTTTGACTTTGTCTTACTTTTTAAGATTTTATATTTTTATTTCCATTCTCATACTTAATTTTATTTATGCATTTTCCAGTTTGCAATAGTTTTATTTTTAAGCTCTTACTCGTCCTTCGTCCCCTCCATAACATTCTTCTCCAGTCTTTTTGTATTTGATCTTGCTTCTTCTCTATGTTCCTCCTTTCTCTGTCCCCATCTTTATCTCATCAGTTATTATTTGTACATTTATCCAAACTGATTTTTAACTTTATCACAGACTATACATTATTTTTTCCATTTTCTTTTCTGTGTTTATTGGGGCTATATGAGTGGGCTTTCATTAATTTTTAAGTATATTCATATAATTTGTCTATTTTGGTGTTCTCATTATTATAGCAGGTTTTTTCCTCTTTGAGTGATACTGGAATTAGACTCTTAAAAGTATGCTATTCACTAAGATCTCCAAATAAAACTGCTATGGATACCCAAACCAATAAATACATAAATTACAACACAAAAAGGGAAGTGTGCAAAAGCAAGAGAACATGACTGACCCACAAGATCACAACTTCTCAATTTCTGAGTCCAAAGATAGTGAAATACATAAAATACCTGATGAAAATTTCAAATGTTTGCTTGTAAATGTAATCATCGACTTCAGAAAAGTTAGAAACAAATGATGTGTGAAGTAAGGAGCTTGATTCCAGACCTGATGAAGAAAACACAAATGATGTACGAAGTAAGGAGCTCAATTCCAGACCTGATGAAGAAAGCCAGCAACAAAGACAAAAAAGTCAGCAAAATGGATAAGAAATTTGAGAAAAAAAAAATTTGAGTTTGGAGGGAGGGAGGAGAAAGAAATGTTAGAAATTAAAAACACAGTAAATAAAGAAACAGTGAAATGGGGGGCTGGAGAGACAGCTCAGTGGTTAAGAACACTGGTTGTTCATGCAGAAGACCCGGGTTCGAATCCCAGCACCCACATGGTAACAACTGGCCATAATTCCAGTCCCAGGGGATCCAACAGCCTCTTCTGACCTCTGCGGGCATTGCATGACACAGGTGCACTTACCTACATGCAGGCAATACACACACACACATAAAATTAAAATAATAAAAACAATTTAAAAAACAGTGAATTTTTTTTAAACTCATTCAATTTTCTGTTTTACAGGGCTTATACTGAATTCAATATTGTATAACTTGTATTAATTCAACAGTGAACCTAAAAATTTTATAGCCACTTTGAAAGAGATGTATCTTTGCTCTGGAAACTGTTATTGACTATGTTAAAGCTGTAATGAAATGCTTCTAAAAAAACAAAAAATAAATTAAAAAAAAACAAAAAACAACAACAGCAACAAAAAAAAACAGTGAAATGCATCACCAGTAGACTTGACCAAGCAGAAGAAAAGCATTAAGGATTGAGGAAAAGGTGGCGGGAGTAATATATTCAAGCATCAATTTTTAAAAATGAACATACTTAAATTTCAAGAATGCTGAAATATGCATAGGAGACCAAACCTGTCCCAATCCATGGAGTAAAAGAAGCTGAGATTTCTTTTTAAATGCCAGAAATGGACTCCCACTCTAGAAGCTGTTGACCAGAGGCTCTATAGGCCCCCTAAGCACTACTTGCCTTTGTGCCTGCTCTTGGTTACCCATCAGAACTTCATTGTAAGCGTCTATTGCTAAAGACACTACATACACAAACCATAAAACGAAAAAGGAGAAATCAAACTAGCACTGACTCCAAAACCTCGCCTCTACTGGTTAGCTTTCATAGTGCTGGAAGGTGTCATGCATGCTACCAGACAGAAAAAAAAAAAAAAACAACCTTGTTCAGTTGTGAATCTTGTGAACTACAACTGGCCTGGCAAGATATGCCCACCAATGCAATAATGGCACAAATATTATGGGAGTAACCAACCACATTCTAATTGGATTTAAGGTCTGGTTCATACCTGACATTGATAGGAAGCTGAGGCTAGTTAGTACACAGGTCACAGGTCATAGGGAGTAGTCTAATACCACTTTTCTACTAAATAGTTATAGTACTAAACTGACTCCTAATGATTTATTGCTGTACTCATAGATAAATGCATTTCTCAACTCTGAGCAGAGAGGCTTCCTTATATACCAGATGGTGATTAACAAAGAAACCTACAATTAGTCACTGTGCAGAGAAC